AAGATAAAATAGTCCATAAAAATAGAGATAATGAGATGATGCAAGATGGAAATCGTACACTTAGCCCATCCCACACTCCTGCGCATCAGGCATCACGCGCCCAACGTGTGTCAAATTTGGTAATACCCGACGAGGTAGATGAAAACTCATATCACTACGATGACGATGATGGGAATAAACCATAGTGATGCAGTTGTTTTTGTGCCAATTTTTAGCAAGTGGGTCTAATGGGAATTAGCTGCAACTTGTAAATAAGAATGTAATACTCGGTTAAAAACCAATCATAACAGAGAAAGGGAAGAACATTTCAATTTGTATAATGGGGGGCACTGTAAAACTAGTTGAAATTGGATGACTTTTTATTATTATTATTATTATTATTATTATTATTATTATTATTATTTAATGCCCTTACTACTGCAACGAAAGGCATAAAAAGGACAGGTAATGTGACGAACACTTGATAAAGTTAATAAAATTAATTAATTAATTAGTGGACTTAATTGTCATATCCGATGCTAAATTAGGTTTGATGAAGTCCACAGTCTGTGCTAAGCATAAATCATGAATAGTTAATTCATTCATTCTCCTTAGCGTCAAGTTGGTGAGACATAACACAAGTTGTGCTGCAAGGCTCCAAATTTTGATTTGTCTCAAGTAGACATATTCTTTTTTCGTTGAATTAGTAGACATATTCCACAAGTGTGTGATGGGATAAAAAAAAAAAAAAGGTTTAACAGGGAGTTAGGCTTAATGATTAAGTATATTTAATTTTATAAATGTTTTTTTGGGGATGATGTTGATGTTTTTCATCATCATTTTGATCAATATGATAAGTCTCGTCCTGAAGTCTATAGCTGATCATTGATCCTGAAATTTGTAAAAGCGGCGTAATAAATATCTACAAACTAAGCATCAAAATGTTTATGAACTATTACACATATTCCATGTTTAAAATCAGCACAACATGTGAGACACATGCTTAGAAGAATACATGACTATTAGATCGAGTGTTGATCGCTCTGTAGTCGTTGAACAAAAGTGCGATAATAATTTTGTAAATAAAATCGTCACTGCAACCTCCGGTGCATGGTTCTACGAGAACAGTCTCACATGCATTCATTCAACCTTCCTCCTCTCATCTCATCAACTTGCAATATTCTACTCACAAAAATCGAAAGAAAATGGCAACCAAATTAACCGTGGGTAATGACCAGGGATATGAATGCTGTCATCTTTGTGTTTTTGTCCTCGTTACTATTTAGTTTTCAACTAGGGTAGTTTGTAGACAACAAAACAAATATAATTTCCCAAGTTTCATGGGCTTGGCCAAAGGTACAATTGGATTATCATCGGGGTGTAGTGATAATGACGATAAATTTTGACAATTTTGAAGTGGTAGATTTTGAATTCATGGCGTTCCTGTTTGTTATTCTTCTTCGGGTATTATATGGTAGTCATGTAGATGTTTTTTTATTGAGTTGAAAGTTCAGATTGAGGAAGGACTTGTCATGTCTAAAATAAAAATTGTATCGATGTATATAATATAATGAATTAAAAAAATTACGGAGGAGAATGAAATCATCTAAAATTTAAATTTGAATATTTCATTTGACCGATCTGACTTAATTTCAAATCCGCCTATGTATTTATTTGTTTCTTCTTAATAGTGAAATCCACTAACAATTCAACAAAAAATTGAATAAAATGAAAGAATCTTCAATTAAATGATGGTGAAATTAGGTTTGATTAGATCCAAGTATCTTATAGTCATGTGTGTAGTAATGAATGAATACTGAACTCGACAAACTATTTTATCCTATTTCACATCTAGTTGTAACAAGTTCAATTTGGACTATGTCCATTTTCTAGTTTCAATTAGCGGAGTTGTGAAAAAAATAAAAATATCTGAAAATATTTATCTTTAAGATAGATTATGTATCTTTTAAATTATTAATATTCTTGACTTGCCATGATTTAGCCTGTAACTCTACACACAATCCCTCATAGATTTTTGTTTTTTTTCTAAAATAGAAGGAGAAGAAACCATCAATCAACCAACTTGATAACATCAGGTTTTCAATCGGATTTTCCAGCTTTTTAGCTTATTCAACCTTTATGGTTTCACTCTGTTCTAGGGTTCGTTTTTTTTTTTTTGCTTTCCTTGGGGTTTGTTTACGCATTTTCGGTCTTCTCTCAAGATGGTGGGTTTATCAACATGTGTGGTGAATCGATTCACTAGTTTCTCCATCCATTCTCCCCGAGTGGTATGTTCTGCCTCTTGGTCGTTATCGATAGATGGATGGAGGTGTCTGATCTGATTGGCCGCGTCAACAACTCTTTGTTATTGGGGGGGGGGGGGGGGGGGGAGGGGTTTGGGGCTCTTCTTCTCGCCTTGACCAAGACTTGGTGCCTCGACTTCCCATGTCTTTTTAACTTGGAGCAATTCGATCATCAACTTTGACCACCGCTATGTAATCACACGCCCAATATTCACTATACAGAGCACCTTCGAGCGACTCCCATGAGGCGCCTTTATGACGTTGTGTTCAATAGCCATGATCTCGGTCGGATCGGACGAGCGGATTGCACTTGGTAGTTGGTACTACTTCGAATAGTTTGATTGCAAAAGAGCTTTCGGTATTTTCTAATTTTGGTTCAAAGTGTTTTAAAATCCATTGATGGATTGGCTCGTTTGGTATTTTTATGCTTCCCTTGTTACTTCTGAAGCATTGATCAAGTTTAATACAAATATTTCCTTTGTAAATTTTCTTTTGATAACGTCACCCTGCCTGTTTCTGTAAAAAAAAAAAAGGGTCACCCTGCCTGTTTCTGTAAAAAAAAAAGGGTTAATTACTTAGTTGGTCACTGAAAAAACGTTCAAGTTTGGTCACTCGAAATATTTAAATCCATTGGTGGTACTTCAGTTTACTGAAACTGTTCACGTTTGGTCACTCTCCATCCAACTCCGTTAATTTTGGCTGATGTGGCAGTCAACTTTCAAAGTTGACCGTTAACTTAGTGATGTGGCAATTAAAAAATAATAAATAAAATAAAATATATTTTAATGTACAAAGCAGTGTTGGACCCAGTCAAAGAAATTGCCGCACAAACCAGCATCACGAACGAATCCTCTTCATATCCCTAGACGCCATCGCTAGCTCGATCCCGGCAAACAGAAGCAGCACCCCCAGAATCCCGATCGGGAACTGTTTCAGAATCGTCATAAACGAGCTCCCGAACACTAGCCCAATCACCAATTTCCCCAATCCGAGAATCACCACCGACAGCCCGCTCCTCGCTCTGAACCTGTACTGCCCTGCCAGCCCGCCGGCACACCAGCATGGCTCCGAACCAGCACCTGACGAAGTTCATCACTCCCATGGATGAAGCAGAGGACTAATCCGAGTAGGAAGACGATCAGCGCGACGAGGATCGAGGAGAGGATCCGGATCTGATTCCCGACCCGGCGGCGTCTCACCGCTGGAAGTGTTGGAGCTGGAGCCGGTGGTGAGGACGAGGAAGAGGAGGGCGGAGAGGGAGAGGATGAGGCCGTCGAGGTCGTGCCAGGACCTGGCTGTGGTAGGTTTGGAGGCAACAGAATCTTGATTGAACTGGATGTACTTGACGACGGAGACGGCGAAGGAGGTACCCTGAGAGAGTTGGACGCCGCAGAGAGAGAGGTAGCGGTAGAGCCAGTGGATCCCAGGATAAAGAGAGTGGCGGCGGTGGAGAACCCGACGGTGGCTATCTGGGAAGGGGTGAGGTGAGGGGTCTCGGAGACGGCAAAAGCGGCGATGGATTTCATGGGCGTCGGGCATGGGGACGCTGAAGAGGAGGCCGGTGAGGATGTTGTATAGGGCGGTGAAGATTAAGAGTTCGTTTGCTTGTTGGATTTGGGTCATGGATTTGGTACCCACATTTCAAGGTTGATGGATTTAACATAAGTCTATTATTTGTTGAAGGGTGCTAAATCTGTGGGGTCCACGGATTTGGTCTTTATTTTGGAACCAAATCCGTGGACCCCACGGACTTGTAAATCGCACATATTGATTTGGGATTTGCAAATCCTTGATGGTTAGTTATTTATTTAACAAATCCATCACAAATCCATCATCAAATCTATCATGCAAACATTAGACTCTTCAAATCCATAATCCAATAAATCCAACATAAATCCCAAGGTTTTTATTGGCCAAAACCCTCATTTTTCAAATCCAACAAGCAAATGACCCCTAAGGTTGTGGAGAGGTCGAGGTGGGAGACTAGATCTCGCTGCCGGGTCGTGAATCGGATTCGGATATTTTAAATAAATAAAAATAAAAAAATATTTTATTTATTTATTTTAGGGTAAATGAGTTGGACAAAAATAGATTAAATTTTATTTTATTAATATTTTTTAATTGCCACGTCACTAAGTTAACGGTCAACTTTGAGTGTTGACTGCCACATCAGGCAAAGTTAACGGACTTGGACGGAGAGTGACCAAACGTGAACGGTTTCAGTAAACTGAAGTACCACCAACGGATTTAAATATTTCGAGTGACCAAACATCAACGTTTTTTGTAATCTCAATGACCAACCATGCAGTTACAAAAAAAATCTTATTATTTTAATAGTTGTAGTTGAGACTTGAGAGAAACAAATAATATTATAACAAAAAATCCCCTACGTCTTCTATAAAAAAAATACCCTACGTCTCCCGATTATTTTATATAATAATAAAAATTCACTGTCTGCTGGAACTTTTTAAATCTCAGCTATAAATCAAAGGTCCCGAACTTGGAACCCACTTCCTATTTTCTCCTTTATGGTGCATTTTGGCTGCTCTACTACTTCTCTGCTTGTAAAGTTCCGTCTTCTTCTTCAGCCATCACTCTCTGTCTCTCCTGTAGTCCTGTTTTCCCTCACAATTGATATTAGAGAAAGAGCGTTTCTCTACTCTGCGAGATCTTCTGAGCGATCTAACGAGTTGAGCGTCGAAAAGAACTTGAAATAGAATGTATGCCGAGCCAGGGCTACTGTTCCCCTATTTGCAGAGCTACTCCCAAGACTTCCAGCAACTCGAAGAGTACTGCAAGTACCAGGAGGACAATGCTTCAATGGTACGACCCCTCTGTTTGTTTTTACTGTTTCTTTGGTTTTTTTGTTGTCTCTTGAGATATATGAGAAATGGGTTGTGAAGAATTCAGCTGGGATTCACTTGGGTTGGTGTTGATTTGGCTTTGAGTTGTGGATAGGAATTTTTTCCAGCAGTTACAGATCTTCATGGTTTGGTAAAAGGGATAAAAATTTTACCCCATTGCTGACTAGGTTTTCCACTTCCCCTGTGTTGAAATGGAGGGCTTAGTTCTTTGCTTTGCTTTCTTTGTCTCACTTCGCAATGTTTCCGAGCACCTGAAACCATTGAGCTGAAATGGAAACTAGGGAGTTTTGCTTTAATATCGCAATTGGATCTGGAAAGCTTAAAGGAGAGGAAGAAGGGAGTAGTACAAAGTAGGAAAGTGATTTCGCTGTCCGAAGCTCCGTGTTCTTTAAGCTTTGTTCCATTTCTTTCTCCCTTCTCCTCATTGTGTGATGTGAACCAGTAGTTTGGTTTTTCTTCCTGCCTTTTTGCTTTTATTAAGACATTCACGCCCACCCAGAAGTGAGTTTACAGAGAAAGGAACGGAGGGGAAAGTTTGGGAAATCCCAAAAGAGGAAAGTTATCTCCATCTTTGTTTGCCTGTCTGGCTTTAATTTGTGGAAACCAAGCTTAGCTAAAAGGACAGACATGGGTGAAACCAGGGTTTCCCTCTTCTTGAAAGGGGTTGCTCTTCAAGTGTATAGAGGTCACTGTTTCAGGTTCAGCTGCTTTTATTGTCCGACCCTTCAGCAATATGAGTGGCTGTCTGTACTTGTGGGTTTTCAGTTGTTTATCTTTCCTTTTGTAGTTTAATGGTGGATTGTGTTATTCTTGACCTTATGAATCTAAACCCAGGGAGAAACTGAGAAAAAAGGGAGACGAGAATTCAGCTGCTTCATTGAATGTTTATGATCGTTTTCATTTCTGGTGTATGGCGGTTTGGATGATTGAGAGGGTATTGAAGCTGTCCTTTCATTGATATGTGATCGATTTTAGTGATAAGTATTTTTTTTTTTTACTTCTCAGATACTTGTCTTGAATATAACTTGTTAGCTCCTTATTGGCCTGCTGGATACTGTTTGATCTTCCAAATCACAGCCAAATCTTGGGACGCCAACATGATTGGTGAAATTGTATAGTCAGCATTAAAATCAAACCCAGTTCTCTAGTAGCAAAGGTTAATTTGTTTTTTACCTTGTCTATTGTAGAGCAACCTGATCTCATCCTCAAGCATATCCGAATATGACCTTGGAGGGGAAGGGGACCTATTCAAGGCACCTGAACTGATCATCGAGGAGCCAATCATGGGCCTTGATCCGATGACAGCAGCCATTTCCATGATATCTTGTGGGGAAGAAGTCCTTACTCCATCAGGACTCAAGATGGCTGCTGGACTTGAAGACATTCAAAATGAGCAGCTTCTCAGCGACGTCTTCTACGAGTGCAAGAAAGACCTCATGGAAATGGCTGCAGCAATAGACTCCCCGCTCTCGGATATTCTGGATATCAAGACTCCTCTGTTGAGAACCGAAGAAAACCATGTCCAAGACCATGAGTTGGCCCCTGATCTAGGGTTGTCAAAGAGTGTTAGCTCGGGGTGTCTAAGCGCGATGGATTGGATCCCTGGAGGTCCGGTGAAGCCGAGTTTCCTGGACTTCCCTGGGATTGATTTTACTGCTGCTTATGGGATGCGAAGAGCATTCAGCGAAGGTGATATCAAGGTAAGCGAAGACATATTGGTCTCCTTCTATCAGTATTATTGTACTGCCCTGCTAAGTTACATGATTATATTCATGGTTTCATGAACTAGTAAAAGGTATGGTTTGCCAATCCTTTAGGTTAGAACTGTAGAACTAAATTACTAAAGGATCACTGTTAGTAACGGATATGTCCCTGTCACTTTTTTTGTCTTGATAAGTGATGATAATGAATGAGCTTCAGTTTAGCTATTAGAGATCGACTGAAGGCACCAGCCACCAACTGATGCCTAATTGCCTAAAATGAACTGAATTTAAATATGCCTTTTCGTTGAAAGGATAACCTTAACTCTTCCTGCAAAATTCCAAGCTTATCTGCTGCAGAAAGGCGAACAAATGAAATATGCTTGTATGATAAATTCAGAACCTATGGTTCTGTTCTTTTCAGTTACTCTAATACCAAATTTCTTGTGGCAGGCTCTTGGAAATGGAAACGTGGGACACATCCATTCTCCGCGTCCACTGCTCATTAGCAGCAACTCCACTTCTGAAGCCCGGTTGGAAAAGCTTTCGAGGTACCGAAACAAGAAGAACAAGAGGAACTTTGGCAGGAAGATCAAGGTAAATTCATCCTATCAACCAACACCACTTCTTTATTTGATCCATTCTGCGAGCAGACTATTCTATAGCTCTCCACCATTGAAACTCAGCCCCATATTGTTTTTCCCTCTCTTTTCCAGTATGCCTGCAGGAAGGCCTTAGCAGACAGCCAGCCGAGGGTCCGGGGAAGGTTCGCCAAGACCGAAGAATCTGATGGGATCAAAGGACACCAGCAATGACCATCTCTAGCTAACCTTGCTGCTGCTGCTGCTGCTGATGATGATGAAGGAACCAACCAGTTGAAAAAAGTGTAGGTATGGAATAGTTTTTAGTCCCTATGAGGGGGAAAAATCTAAGTACTAAGTAGTAGTAGTGGTAAGGGCTTCCTAATCTGTAATCAATGGAGAAAAGAGAAAGAGAAGCTAAGTATTTAGTGTTGGAATAAACTTAATTCCGCCCCAGCGCAGCAAGCAAGGAAAGCCAAAAAGAGAGTGTAGTAGTTTGATTGATTATTATCATCCTCTGTGATTACCTCGAATCTGTAGACCAGGAGTTTGGTCGTTTAAGTGTAGTAGAAAGTTTGTATATATGGTGGATGGTGTGGAATAAGACGACGGAGGAAGGGCAGATTTGTAATCAATCTTGTTATATGCATTGCATCTGTTCTGTCGTATGGAATGACAAAAAATGTTCTTCCTCTCGTTTTCTTTGGGGTGAAAACATGTTGTAATGCAAATAATATGAAAATTGAAAGGTGTACCTAAGTCAACAAGGATATACTAAAATATCAAATAATATGAAAATTGAAAGGGTATTAATTGATGTGTAGTTGTGTACATAAGTCAACAGGTAAATTTAGTTTTAAAAAACTTGAAAATTGAAAGGTATATCATGGCTATGATATGTGGGCTACTGTAATGCAAGTATCATTTGGATGTATGTTACAAGGCACAACTACCACAAGTTAATGAATTAAGCAAATGGCGAAGTCGTCAAGAGAGTCATACAAAAGCCAATGTGTAGTGTCGGGGTCGTTCACATATAGTATGAGTACCAAGGTATAACACTCTAACGTGTAACCTTATGAGCTAAACAGTCAGCTAAAAAAGTAGCTTCCCTATAGATATGTTGCACCCGAAAATCCCATGTTCGACTTAGGAGTTCCCTAATTGAGAGAATGAGGCTAGCGTACTGATGGTCAAAAGGTACCCGTTTGGAATCTGCCAAAAATTGACCCGGAATAAATCCGCCCAAATCGGTGTTTAATAGACTCAATCATCGTTGGAGAATAGCCTCAGGCCGAATCCGTGATCTGTAGCCTTCAATATCCAAATAAAATGGCCTTTCGTCGCCCAAGAAATTACGAAAATGCCATCCGAAAATAAATTGGCCCAAATCGATGCTTAACGAACTTATCATTCGTGGAGAATAGGATCAATAGACTTCATTATCGGTGGAGAATAGCCTCGGCCTGATTTCGTGATCTGTAGCCTCCAGAATCGAAAGAAAATGACATTTCGGATAAATCGCCCGAAATCTGTGATGGTGCCACTTCGGAATCTGCCAAAAATGGACCCGGAATAAATCCGCCCAAATCGGTGCTTAATGGACTCAATCATCATTGGAGAATAACCTCAGACCGAATCCGTGATCAGTAGCCTTCAATATCCAAAGAAAATGGCCTTTCGTTGCACAAGAAATTACAAAAATGTCATTCGAAAATAAATTGGCTCAAATCGATGCTTAACAGACTTATCATCCGTGGAGAATAGGATCAATAGACTTCATTATCGGTGGAGAATAGCCTCGGCCTGATTCTGTGATCTGTAGCCTCCAGAATCGAAAAAAATGGCATTTCGGATAAATCGCCCGAAATCTGTGATGGTACCTCTTCGGAATCTGCCAAAAACGGACCCGGAATAAATCCACCCAAATCAGTGCTTAATGGACTCAATCATTGTTGGAGAATAGCCTCCGACCGAATCCGTGATTAGTAGACTTCAATATCCAAAGAAAATGGCCTTACGTCGCCCATGAAATTACAAAAATGCCATTCGAAAATAAATTGGCTCAAATCGATGCTTAACGGACTTATCATCCGTGGAGAATAGGATCAATAGACTTCATTATCGGTGGAGAATAGCCTCGGCCTGATTCCGTGATCTGTAACCTCCAGAATCGAAAGAAAATGGCATTTCGGATAAACCGCCCGAAATCTGTGATATTACCCCTTTGGAAATAGCCAAAAATGGACCCGAATAAATCCGCCCAAATCGGTGCTTAATGGACTCAATCATCGTTGGAGAATAGCCGCAGGCCGAATCTGTGATCTGTAGCCTTCAATATCCAAAGAAAATGGCCTTTCGTCGCCCAAGAAATTACAAAAATGCCATTCGAAAATAAATTGGCCAAAATCGATGCTTAACGGACTTATCAACCGTGGAGAATAGGATCACTAGACTTCATTATGATGAGAATAGCCTCGTCCTGATTCCGTGATCTGTAGCCTCCAGAATCGAAGGAAAATGGCATTTCGGATAAATAGCCTGAAATCTGTGATGGTACCTCTTCGGAATCTGCCAAAAATGGAACCGGAATAAATCCGCCCAAATCAGTGCTTAATGGAGTCAATCATCGTTGGAGAATAGCCTCAGACCGAATCCGTGATCAGTAGCCTTCAATATCCAAAGAAAATGGCCTTTCGTCGCCCAAGAAATTACAAAAATGCCATTCGAAAATAAATTGGATGAAATCGATGCTTAACAAACATATCATCCGTGGAGAATAGGATCAATGGACTTCATTATCGGTGCAGAATATCCTCGGCCTGATTCCGTGATCTGTAGCCTCCAGAATCGAAAGAAAATGGCAATTCGGATAAGTCGCAGGAAATCTGTGATGGTATCCCTTTGGAATCTGCCAAAAATGGACCCGGAATAAATCCTCCCAAATCGGTGCTTAACGGACTCAATCATCGTTGGAGAATAGTCTCAGGCCGAATCCGTGATTTGTAGCCTTCAATATCCAAAGAAAATGGCATTTCATCGCACAAGAAATTACGAAAATGCCATTCTAAAATAAATTGGCCAAAATCGATGCTTAAGGGACTTATCATCCGTGGAGAATAGGATCAATAGACTTCATTATCGGTGGAGAATAGCCTCGGCCAGATTCCGTGATCTGTAGCCTCCAGAATTGAAAGAAAATGGCATTTCAGATAAATCGCCTGAAATCTGTGATGGTATCCCTTCGGAATATGCCAAAAATGGACCCGGAATAAATCTGCCCAAATTGGTGCTTAATGGACTCAATCATCATTGGAGAATAGCCTCAGGCTGTATCCATGATCTGTATCCTTCAATATCCAAAGAAAATGGCCTTTCGTCGCCCAAGAAATTACGAAAATGCCATTCGAAAATAAATTGGCCCAAATCGATGCTTAACGGACTTATCATCTGTGGAGAATAGGATCAATAGACTTCATTATCGGTGGAGAATAGCCTCGGACTGATTCCGTGATCTGTACCCTCCAGAATCGAAAGAAAATGACATTTAGGATAAATCGCCCGAAATATGTGATGGTTCCATTTTGGAATCTGCCAAAAATGGACCCGGAATAAATCCGCCTAAATCGGTGCTTAATGGACTCAATCATCGTTGGAGAATAGCCTCAGACCGAATCTGTGATCTGTAGCCTTCAATATCCAAAGAAAATGGCCTTTCGTCGCCCAAGAAATTACAAAAATGCCATTCAAAAATAAATTTGTTCAAATCGATGCTTAACGGACTTATCATCCGTGGAGAATAGAATCAATAGACTTCATTATCGGTGGAGAATAGCCTCTGCCTTATTACGTGATATGTAGCCTCCAGAATCGAAAGAAAATGACATTTCGGATAAATCGCCCGAAATATGTGATGGTACCCCTTTGGAATCTGCCAAAAATGGACCTGGAAAAAATCCGCCCAAATCGGTGCTTAATGGACACAATCATCGTTACAGAATAGCCTCAGGCCGTATCCGTGATCTGTATCCTTCAATATCCAAAGAAAATGGCCTTTCGCCGCCGGAGAAATTACGAAAATGCCATTCGAAAATAAATTGGCCCAAATTGATGCTTAACGGACTTATCATCCATGGAGAATAGGATCAATAGACTTCATTATCGGTGGAGAATAACCTCGGCCTAATTCCGTGATCTGTAGCCTCCAGAATCGAAAGAAAATGGCATTTCGGATAAATCGCCCGAAATCTGTGATGGTACCCCTATTGAATCTGCCAAAAATGGACACGGAATAAATCCGCCCAAATCGGTGCTTAATGGACTCAATCATCGTTGGAGAATAGCCTCAGGCCGAATCCGTAGCCTTCAATATCCAAAGAAAATGGCATTTCGTCGCCCAAGAAATTAAGAAAATGCCATTCGAAAATAAATTGGCCCAAATCGATATTCAACCGGACTTATCATCTGTGGAGAATAGGACCAATAGACTTCATTATCGGTGGAGAATAGCCTCGGCCTGATTCCGTGATATGTAGCCTCCAGAATCGAAAGAAAATGGCATTTCGGATTAATCGCCCAAAATCTGTAATGGTACCCCTTTGGAATCTGCCAAAAATGGACCAGGAATAAATCCGCCCAAATCGGTGCTTAATGGACTCAATCATCGTTGGATAATAACCTCAGGCCGAATCCGTGATAGGTAGCCTTCAATATCCAAAGAAAATGGCCTTTCGTCGCCCAAGAAATTACGAAAATGCCATTCAAAAATAAATTGGCTCAAATCGATGCTTAACGGACTTATCATTCATTGAGAATAGGATCAATAGACTTCATTATCGGTGGATAATAGCCTCGGCCACATTCCGTGATCTGTAGCCTCCAGAATCGAAAGAAAATTTCATTTCGGATAAATCACCAGAAATCTGTGATGGTACCCCATTGGAATCTGCCAAAAACGGACCCGGAATAAATCCGCCCAAATCAATGCTTAATGGACTCAATCATCGTTGGAGAATAGCCTCAGACCGAATCCGTGATCTGTAGCCTTCAATATCCAAAGAAAATAGCCTTTCGTCGCACTAAAAATTACGAAAATGCCATTCAAAAATCTATTGGCCAAAATCGATGCTTAACGGACTTATCATCCGTGGATAATAGGATCAATAGACTTCATTATTGGTGGAGAATAGCCTCTGCCTGATTCCGTGATCTGTAGCCTCCAGAATCGAATGAAAATGGCATTTCGGATAAATCGCTTGAAATCTGTGATGGTACCCCTTTGGAATCTGCCAAAAATGGAACCGGAATAAATCCGCCCAAATTGGTGCTTAATGACCTCAATCATCGTTGGAGAATAGCCTCAGGCCGAGTCCGTGATCTGTAGCCTTCAATATCGAAAGAAAATGGCCATTCGTCGCCCAAGAAATTACTAAAATGCCGTTCAAAAATAAATTTGCCCAAATCGATGCTTAACGGACTTATCATCCGTGGAGAATAGGATCAATAGACTTCATTATCGGTAGAGAATAGCCTCGGCCAGATTCCGTGATCTGTAGCCTCCAGAATTGAAAGAAAATGGCATTTCAAAAAAATCGCCCGAAATCTGTGATGGTACTCCTTTAGAATCTTCCAAAAATTGACCCGGAATAAATCTGCCCAAATTGGTGCTTAATGGACTCAATCATCGTTGGAGAATAGCCACAGGCTGTAACCGTGATCTATATCCTTTACAAAGAAAATGGCCTTTCGTCGCCCAAGAAATTACGAAAATGCCATTCAAAAATAAATTTGTACAAATCAATGCTTAACGGACTTATCATCCGTGGAGAATAGAATCAATAGACTTCATTATCGGTGGAGAATAGCCTCGGCCTTATTACGTGATCTGTAGCCTCTAGAATCGAAAGAAAATGACATTTCGGATATATCGCCTGAAATCTGTGATGGTACCCCTTTGGAATCTGCCAAAAATGGACCTGGAATAAATCCGCCCAAATCGGTGCTTAATGGACACAATCATCGTTACAGAATAGCCTCAGGCCGTATCCGTGATCTGTATCCTTCAATATCCAAAGAAAATGGCCTTTCGCCGCCGGAGAAATTACGAAAATGCCATTCGAAAATAAATTGGCCCAAATTGATGCTTAACGGACTTATCATCCATGGAGAATAGGATCAATAGACTTCATTATCGGTGGAGAATAACCTCGGCCTAATTCCGTGATCTGTAGCCTCCAGAATCGAAAGAAAATGGCATTTCGGATAAATCGCCCGAAATCTGTGATGGTACCCCTATTGAATCTGCCAAAAATGGACGCGGAATAAATCCGCCCAAATCGGTGCTTAATGGACTCAATCATCGTTGGAGAATAGCCTCAGGCCGAATCCGTAGCCTTCAATATCCAAAGAAAATGGCATTTCGTCGCCCAAGAAATTAAGAAAATGCCATTCGAAAATAAATTGGCCCAAATCGATATTCAACCGGACTTATCATCCATGGAGAATAGGATCAATAGACTTCATTATCGGTGGAGAATAACCTCGGCCTAATTCCGTGATCTGTAGCCTCCAGAATCGAAAGAAAATGGCATTTCGGATAAATCGCCCGAAATCTGTGATGGTACCCCTATTGAATCTGCCAAAAATGGACGCGGAATAAATCCGCCCAAATCGGTGCTTAATGGACTCAATCATCGTTGGAGAATAGCCTCAGGCCGAATCCGTAGCCTTCAATATCCAAAGAAAATGGCATTTCGTCGCCCAAGAAATTAAGAAAATGCCATTCGAAAATAAATTGGCCCAAATCGATATTCAACCGGACTTATCATCTGTGGAGAATAGGACCAATAGACTTCATTATCGGTGGAGAATAGCCTCGGCCTGATTCCGTGATATGTAGCCTCCAGAATCGAAAGAAAATGGCATTTCGGATTAATCGCCCAAAATCTGTAATGGTACCCCTTTGGAATCTGCCAAAAATGGACCAGGAATAAATCCGCCCAAATCGGTGCTTAATGGACTCAATCATCGTTGGATAATAACCTCAGGCCGAATCCGTGATAGGTAGCCTTCAATATCCAAAGAAAATGGCCTTTCGTCGCCCAAGAAATTACGAAAATGTCATTCAAAAATAAATTGGCTCAAATCGATGCTTAACGGACTTATCATTCATTGAGAATAGGATCAATAGACTTCATTATCGGTGGATAATAGCCTCGGCCACATTCCGTGATCTGTAGCCTCCAGAATCGAAAGAAAATTTCATTTCGGATAAATCACCAGAAATCTGTGATGGTACCCCATTGGAATCTGCCAAAAACGGACCCGGAATAAATCCGCCCAAATCAATGCTTAATGGACTCAATCATCGTTGGAGAATAGCCTCAGACCGAATCCGTGATCTGTAGCCTTCAATATCCAAAGAAAATAGCCTTTCGTCGCACTAAAAATTACGAAAATGCCATTCAAAAATCTATTGGCCAAAATCGATGCTTAACGGACTTATCATCCGTGGATAATAGGATCAATAGACTTCATTATTGGTGGAGAATAGCCTCTGCCTGATTCCGTGATCTGTAGCCTCCAGAATCGAATGAAAATGGCATTTCGGATAAATCGCTTGAAATCTGTGATGGTACCCCTTTGGAATCTGCCAAAAATGGAACCGGAATAAATCCGCCCAAATTGGTGCTTAATGACCTCAATCATCGTTGGAGAATAGCCTCAGGCCGAGTCCGTGATCTGTAGCCTTCAATATCGAAAGAAAATGGCCATTCGTCGCCCAAGAAATTACTAAAATGCCGTTCAAAAATAAATTTGCCCAAATCGATGCTTAACGGACTTATCATCCGTGGAGAATAGGATCAACAGACTTCATTATCGGTAGAGAATAGCCTCGGCCAGATTCCGTGATCTGTAGCCTCCAGAATTGAAAGAAAATGGCATTTCAAAAAAATCGCCCGAAATCTGTGATGGTACTCCTTTAGAATCTTCCAAAAATTGACCCGGAATAAATCTGCCCAAATTGGTGCTTAATGGACTCAATCATCGTTGGAGAATAGCCACAGGCTGTAACCGTGATCTATATCCTTTACAAAGAAAATGGCCTTTCGTCGCCCAAGAAATTACGAAAATGCCATTCAAAAATAAATTTGTACAAATCAATGCTTAACGGACTTATCATCCGTGGAGAATAGAATCAATAGACTTCATTATCGGTGGAGAATAGCCTCGGCCTTATTACGTGATCTGTAGCCTCTAGAATCGAAAGAAAATGACATTTCGGATATATCGCCTGAAATCTGTGATGGTACCCCTTTGGAATCTGCCAAAAATGGACCTGGAATAAATCCGCCCAAATCGGTGCTTAATGGACACAATCATCGTTACAGAATAGCCTCAGGCCGTATCCGTGATCTGTATCCTTCAATATCCAAAGAAAATGGCCTTTCGCCGCCGGAGAAATTACGAAAATGCCATTCGAAAATAAATTGGCCCAAATTGATGCTTAACGGACTTATCATCCATGGAGAATAGGATCAATAGACTTCATTATCGGTGGAGAATAACCTCGGCCTAATTCCGTGATCTGTAGCCTCCAGAATCGAAAGAAAATGGCATTTCGGATAAATCGCCCGAAATCTGTGATGGTACCCCTATTGAATCTGCCAAAAATGGACGCGGAATAAATCCGCCCAAATCGGTGCTTAATGGACTCAATCATCGTTGGAGAATAGCCTCAGGCCGAATCCGTAGCCTTCAATATCCAAAGAAAATGGAATTTCGTCGCCCAAGAAATTAAGAAAATGCCATTCGAAAATAAATTGGCCCAAATCGATATTCAACCGGACTTATCATCTGTGGAGAATAGGATCAATAGACTTCATTGTTGGTGGAGAATAACCTCGGCATGATTCCGTGATCTGTAGCCTCCAGAATCGAAAGAAAATGGCATTTAGGATAAATCGCTCGAAATCTGTGATGGTACCCCTTTGGAATATGTCAAAAATAGACGTCGAACAAAACCGCCCAAATCGTTGCTTAATGGACTCAATCATTGTTGGAGAATAGCCACAGGCCGAATCCGTGATCTGTAGCCTTCAATAGCTTCAATAGCCAAAGAAAATGGCCTTTCGTCGCACTAGAAATTACTAAATTGCAATTCGAAATTAAATTTGCCCAAATTGATGCTTAACGGACTTATCATCCATGGAGTATAGGATCAATAGACTTCATTATCGGTGGAGAATAGCCTCGGCCTGATTCCGTGATCTGTAGCTTCCAGAATCGAAAGAAAATGGAATTTCGAATAAATCACCCAAAATCTGTGATGGTACCCCTTTGGAATCTGCCAAAAATTGACCCAGAATAAATCCGCCTTGAACGGTGCTTAATGGACTCAATCATCGTTGGAGAATAGCCTCAGACCGAATATGTGATCTGTAGCCTTCAATATCCAAAGAAAATGGCCATTCGTCGCCCAATAAATTACAAAAATGCCATTAAAAAATAAATAGGTTCAAATCGATGCTTAACGGACTTATCATCCGTGGAGAATAGACTCAATAGACTTCAATATCGGTGAAGAATAGCCTCGGCCTGATTACGTGATCTGTAGCCTCCAGAATCGAATGAAAATGGCATTTCGGATAAATCGCTTGAAATCTGTGATGGTACCACTTCGGAATCTGCCAAAAATTGAACCGGAATAAATCCGCCCAAATTGGTGCTTAATGACCTCAATCATCGTTGGAGAATAGCCTCAGGCCGAATCCGTGATCTGTAGCCTTCAATATCCAAAGAAAATGGCCTTTTGTCGCCCAAGAAATTATGAAAATGGCATTCGAAAATAAATTGGCCCAAATCGATGCTTAACGGGCTTATCATCCGTGGAGAATAGGATCAATAGACTTCATTATCGGTGGAGAATAGCCTCGGACTGATTCCGTGATCCGTAGCCTCCAGAATCGAAAGAAAATGGCATTTCGGATAAATCGCACGAAATCTGTGATAGTACCCCTTTGGAATCTGCCAAAAATGGACCCGGAATAAAGCCGCCCAAATCGGTGCTTAATGGACTCAATCATCGTTGGAGAATAGCCCCTGGCCAAATCCGTGATCTATAGCCTTCAATATCCAAAGAAAATGGCCTTTCGTCGCCCAAGAAATTACAAAAATGTCATTCGAAAATAAATTGGCCCAAATTGATGCTTGACGGACTTATCATCTGTGGAGAATATGATCAATAGACTTCATTATCGGTGGAGAATAGCGTCGGCCTGATTGCGTGATCTGTAGCATCCAGAATCAAAAGAAAATGGCATTACTAATAAATCGCGTGAAATCTTTGATGGTACCCCTCTGAAAAATTGCCAAAAATGGACCCGTAATAAATCTGTCCAAATCGGTGCTTAATGGACTCAATCATCGTTGGAGAATAGCCTCAGGCCGAATCCGTGATCTGTAGCCTGCAATATCCAAATAGCCTCAGGCCGAATCCGTGATCTTTAGCCTTCAATATCCATAGAAAATGGCCATTCGTCGCCCAAGAAATTACTAAAATGCCATTCAAAAATAAATTGGCACAAATCGATGCTTAGCAGACTTATCATCCATGCAGAATAGGATCAATAGACTTCATTATCGGTAGAGAATAGCCTCAGCCAGATTCCGTGATCTGTAGCCTCCAGAATTGAAAGAAAATGGCATTTCGGAAAAATCGCCCGAAATCTGTGATGGTACTCCTTTAGAATCTTCCAAAAATTGACCCGGAATAAATCCTCCCAAATTGGTGCTTAATGGACTCAATCATCGTTGGAGAATAGCCTCAGGCTGTATCCGTGATCTGTATCCTTCAATATCCAAAGAAAATGGCCTTTCGTCACCCAAGAAATTACGAAAATGCCATTCGAAAATAAATTGGCCCAAATCGATGCTTAACGGACTTATCATCTGTGGAGAATAGGATCAATAGACTTCATTATCAGTGGAGAATAGCCTCGGCCTGATTTCGTGATCTGTACCCTCCAGAATCGAAAGAAAATGGCATTTAGGATAAATCGCCCGAAATTTGTGATGGTTCCCTTTTGGAATCTGCCAAAAATGAACCCGGATTAAATACGCCCAAATCGGTTCTTAATGGACTCAATCATCGTTGGAGAATAGCCTCAGACCGAATCTGTGATCTGTAGCCTTCAATATCCAAAGAAAATGGCCTTTCGTCGCCCAAGCAATTATGAAAATGCCATCCGAAAATAAATTGGCCCAAATTGATGCTTAACGGACTTATCATCCGTAGAGAATAGGATCAATAGACTTCATTATCGGTGGAGAATAGCCTCGGCCTGATTCCGTGATCTGTAGCCTCCAGAAACGAAAAAAAGGCATTTCGGATAAATCGCCCGAAATCTGTGAAGGTACCCCTTTGGAATCTGCCAAAAATTGACCCGGAATAAATCCGACCAAATCGGTGCTTAATGGACTCAACCATCGTTGGAGAATAACCTCAGGTCGAATCCGTGATCTGTAGCCTTCAATATCCAAAGAAAATGGCCTTTCTTCGCTCAAGAAATAACGAAAATGCCATTCGAAAATAAATTGGCCTAAATCGATGCTTAACGGACTTATCATCCGTGGAGAATAGGATCAATAGACTTCATTATCGGTTGAGAATATCCTCGGGCTGATTCTGTGATCTGTAGCCTCCAGAATCGAATGAAAATGACATTTCGAATAAATCGCCCGAAATCTGGAACCCCTTTAGAATATGCCAAAAATTGACCCGGAATAAATCCGTCCAATTCAGTGCTTAACGGACTCAATCATCGTTGGAGAATAGCCTCAGGCCGAATCCATGATCTGTAGCCTTCAATATCCAAAGAAAATGGTCTTTCGTCGCCCAAGAAATTACGAAAATGTCATTCGAAAAGAAATGGGCACAAATCGATGCTTAACGAACGTATCATCCGTGGATAATAGGATCAATAGACTTCATTATTGATGGAGAATAGCCTCGTCCTGATTCCGTGATCTGTAGCCTCCAGAATCGATAGAAAATGTCATTTCGGATAAATTGCCCGAAATATGTGATGATACCCTTTTGGAATCTGCCAAAAATTGACCCGGAATAAATCCTCCCAAATCTGTGCTTAATGGAATCAATCATCGTTGGAGAATCGCCTCAGGCCGAATCCCTGATCTGTAACCTTCAATATACAAAGAAAATGGCATTTCGTTGCCCAAGAAATTACGAAAATAACATTCGAAAATAAATTGGCCCCAATCGATGCTTAACGGACTTATCATCTGTTGAGAATAAGATCAATAGACTTCATTATCGGTGGAGAATAGCCTCGGCCTGATTCCGTGATCTGTAGCCCCCAGAATCGAAAGAAAATGTCATTTCGGATAAATTGCCCGAAATCTGTGATGGCACCCCTTTGGAATCTGCCAAAAATTGACCCGGAATAAATCCTCCCAAATCGGTGCTTAATTGACTCAATCATCGTTGGAGAACAACCTCAGGCGGAATCCGTGATCTGTAGCCTTCAATATCAAAAGAAAATGGCCTTTCGTCGCCCAAGAAATTACGAAAAATGCCATTCGAAAATAAATTGGCCCAAATCGATGCTTAACTGACTTATCATCCGTGGAGAGTAGGATCAATAGACTTCATTATCGGTGGAGAATAGCCTCAGCCTAATTCGGTGATCTATAGCCTCCAGAATCGAATGAAAATAGCATTTCGGATAAATGGCCCGAAATCTGTGATGATACCCCTTTGGAATCTGCCAAAAATTGACCCGGAATAAATCTACCCAAATCGGTGCTTAATGGACTCAATCTTCGTTGGAGAACAACCTCAGGCAGAATCCGTGATCTATAGCCTTCAATATCCAAAGAAAATGGCCTTTCGTCGCCCAAGAAATTACGAAAAATGCCATTCGAAAATAAATTGGCCCAAATCGATGCTAAACGGACTAATCATCTGTGGAGAATAGGATCAATAGACTTCATTATCGGTGGAGAATAGACTCGGCCAGATTCTGTGATGGGTAGCCTCCAGAATCGAAAGAAATTAAAATTTCGGATAAATCTCCCGAAATCTGTGATGCCTCTTTGGAATCTGCAAAAAATTGACCCGAAATAAATCCGCCCAAATCGATGTTTAACGGACTTATCATCCGTGGAGAATAGGATCAATAGACGTAATTATCGGTGGAGAATAGCCTCAGCGTGATTCCGTGATCTGTAGCCTCCAGAATCGAAAGAAAATGGCATTTCGGATGAATCGCATGAAATCTGTAATGGTACCCCTTTGGAATCTTCCAAAAATGGACCCGGAATAAATCTACCCAAATCGGTGCTTAATGGACTCAATCATCGTTGGAGAATTACCTCACGCCGAATCCGTGATCTGTAGCCTTCAATATCCAAAGAAAATGGCCTTTCGTCGCCCAATAAATAACGAAAAGGTAATTCGAAAATAAATTGGGCCAAATCGATGCTTAACAGACTTATCATCCGTGGAGAATTGATCAATAGACTTCATTATCGGTGGAGAATAGCCTCGGCCTGATTCCGTGATATGTAGGCTCCAGAATCGAAAGAAAATGACATTTCGGTTAAATCGCCCGAAATATGTGATGGTACCCCTTTGGAATCTGCTAAAAATTGACCCGGAATAAATCAGCCCAAATCGGTGCTTAATGGACTCAATCATCGATGAAGAATAGCCTCTGGCCAAATCCGTGATCTGTAGCCTTCAATATCCAAAGAAAATGGCCTTTCGTCACCCAAGAAATTACGAAAATGCCATTCGAAAATAAATTGGCCCAACTCGATGCTTAATGGGCTTATCATCGGTGGAGAATAGGATCAATAGACTTCGTTATTGGTGGAGAATAGCTTCGGCCTGATTCCGTGATCTGTAGCCTCCAGAATCAAAAGACAATGGCATTTCGGAAAAATCGCACGAAATCTGTGATAATACCCCTTTGGAATCTGCTAAAAATTAACCCGGAATAAATCCGCCCAAATCGGTGATTAATGGACTCAATCATCGTTGGAGAATAGCCTCAGGCCAAATCCGTGATCTGTAGCCTTCAATATCCAAAGAAAATGGCCTTTCGTCGCCCAAGAAATTACGAAAATGTCATTCGAAAATAAATTGGCCCAAATCGATACTTAACGGACTTATCATCTGTGGAGAATAGAATCAATATACTTCATTAACGGTGGAGAATAGCCTAGGCCTGATTTCTTGATCTGTAGCCTACGGAATTAAAAGAAAATGGCATTTCGGATAAATCGCCTGAAATCTGTAATGGTACCCCTTTGGAATCTGCCCAAAATTGACCCGGAATAAATCCGTCCAAATCGGTGCTTAAAGGACTCAATCATCGTTGGAGAATAGCCTTAGGCCTAATCCGTTATCTGTAGCCTTCAGTATCCAAAGAAAATGGCCTTTCGTCGTCCAAGAAATTACGATAAGGCCATTATAAAATAAAGTGGCCCAAATCAATGCTTAACGGACTTATCATCCGTGGAGAATAGGATCAAGAGACTTCATTAACGGTGGAGAACAGCCTCGGCCTGATTTCGTAATCTGTAGCCTCCGGAATCGAAAGAAAATGGCATTTCGGATAAATCGCCCGAAATCTATGATGGTACACCTTTGGAATCTGCCAAAAATTGACCCGGAAAAAATTTGCCCAAATCGGTGCTTAATGGACTCAATCATCGTTGGAGAATAGCCTCAGGCTGAATCCGTGATCTGTAGCCTTCAATATCCAAAGAAAATGGCCTTTCGTCGCCCAAGAAATTACGAAAATGTCATTCGAAAATAAATTGGCCCAAAACAATGCTTAACGGGCTTATCATCCATGGAGAATAGGATCAATATACTTCATTAATGGTGGAGAATAGCCTCGGCCTGATTTCTTGATCTGTAGCCTCCGGAATCGAAAGAAAATGGTATTTCAGATAAATAGCCCGAAATCTGTAATGGTACCCCTTTGGAATCTGCCCAAAATTGACCCGGAATAAATCTGCCCAAATCGGTGCTTAATGGACTCAATCATCGTTGGAGAATAGCCTCAGGCCGAATCCGTGATCTGTAGCCTTCAATATCCAAAGAAAATGGCCTTTCGTCGACCAAGAAATTACGAAAATGTCATTCGAAAATAAATTGGACCAAATCGATACTTAACGGAGTTATCATCTGTGGAGAATAGGATCAATAGACTTCATTATCGGTGGAGAATAGCCTCGGCCTGATTCCGTGATCAGTAGCCTCCGGAATCGAAATAAAATGGCATTTCGGATAAATCGCCCGAAATCTGTAATGGTACCCCTTTGGAATCTGCCAAAAATAAACCCGTAATAAATCCGTCCAAATCGGTGCTTAATGGACTCAATCATCGTTGGAGAATAGCCTCAGGTCGAATCCGTGATCTGTAGCCTTCAATATCCAAAGAAAATGGCCTTTCGTCGACCAAGAAATTACGAAAATGTCATTCGAAAATAAATTGGCCGAAATCGATGCTTAACTGACTTATCATCCGTGGAGAACAGGATCAATAGATTTCATTATCGGTGGAGAATAGCCTCGGCCTGATTCCGAGATCTGTAGCCTCCAGAATCGAAAGAAAATGGCATTTTAGATATATCGCACGAAATCTGTGATGGTAGTACCCCTTTGGAATCTGCCAAAAATTGACCCGGAATAAATCCGCCAAAATCGGTGCTTAATGGACTCAATCATCGTTGGAGAATCGCCTCAGGTCGAATCCGTGATCTGTAGCCTTCAATATCCAAAGAAAATGGTCTTTCGTCGCCCAAGAAATTACGAAAATGTCATTCGAAAATAAATTGGCCCAAATCGATGCATAACGGACTTATCATCCGTGGAGAATAGGTTCAATAGACTTCATTATCGGTAGAGAATAGCCTCGGCCTGATTCCGTGATCTGTAGCCTCCAGAATCGAAAGAAAATGGCATTTCAGATAAATCGCCCGAAATCTGTGATGGAACCCCTTTGGAATTTGCCAACAATTAACCCGGAAAAAATCCGCCCAAATCGGTGCTTAATGGACTCAATCATCGTTGGAGAATAGCCTCAGGCCAACTCCGCGATCTGTAGCCTTCAATATCCAAAGAAAATGGCCTTTCGTCGACCAAGAAATTACGAAAATGTCATTCGAAAATAAATTGGCCCAAATCGATGTTTAACGGACTTATCATCCGTGGAGAATAGGATCAATAGACTTCATTATCGGTGGAGAATAGCCTCGGCCTGATTCCGTGATCTGTAGCCTCCAGAATCGAAGAAAATTGGCATTTCGGATAAATCGCCTGAAATTTGTGATGGTACCCCTTTGGAATCTGCTAAAATTTGACCCGGAATAAATCTGCCCAAATTGGTGCTTAATGGACTCAATCATCGTTGGATAATAGCCTCAGGCCGAATCCGTGATCTGTAGCCTTCAATAACCAAAGAAAATGGCCTTTCGTCGACCAAGAAATTACGAAAATGCCATTCGAAAATAAATTGGCCCAAATCGATGCTTAACGCACTTATCATCTGTGGGGAATAGGATCAATAGACTTCATTATCGGTGGAGAATAGCTTCGGCTTTATTCCGTGATCTTTAGC